CCGCGGGGGGGCGGGGCGGGGGGGGGGCCTTCGCCTAGCCGGGAAACAACGGACGCGTCCGTCTCCAACAGGGGGGGCAGGCCCGGATGCTATCCCAGCCTGCACTGCGGGCTCAGCCCGCGCGCAGGAAGTGACGAGTGCTAACCGGATGAGAGGAAACAAACCTGACAGTTGGGGGCGGGAAGTGACGAGGGGAGTCATGTGACTTTGCCGTTTGCGGGGCGATGATAACTGCCTCCTGCAGAGGCCGCTCCCCCAGTGGCGGGGCAGGCCCGGATGCTATCCCAGCCTGCACTGCGGGCTCAGCCCGCGCGCAGGAAGTGACGAGTGCTAACCGGATGAGAGGAAACAAACCTGACAGTTGGGGGCGGGAAGTGACGAGGGGAGTCATGTGACTTTGCCGTTTGCGGGGCGATGATAACTGCCTCCTGCAGAGGCCGCTCCCCCAGTGGCGGGGGGCGTTTGCAAGCGCCCTTAGCAACAGCGCCCTAGCCTGGAGACGTGCGGCCCACTCCTCCTGGCTTCCCCTCACTGCTCCTACCCAGCTCACTAGTGCCCCCCTCCCCATCGTACCCTCCTCCAGTGCTCCTCCCCCCCAACACCTGACCCACTCGTGCCATTCCACCCCATGGTTCCTCCCCAGGGGTGACCCGTGATTATAGGCCGACTCGGCCGTCACCTAGGGCGCCCCCTTCAACGGGGTGCCCGATGATATCACTCCATTGACGGCCGTGCAGCCAGGGGCGTTGATCGCACATTGCACTTAGGGCATGCCAGTTACAAGATCATGCCTAACCATGCCAGTTACAAGATCAAGAACACATATTCCTGTTCATTCAGAAATATAATTTATGCCATCATGTGCCTAAAGTGTCTGTCTGCTATGTACATTGGACAGACGGCTCAGACACTTCGCCAAAGAATCAATGCACACAAAACAGACATAAGACTCTCTCACAGAGAGAAAGCTGTTGCTTGCCATTTCAGCCAGACTGATCATTCCTTTAATAACCTTAAAACATGCATAGTGCTTCAAAGAGACTTTAACTCCAGACTTCAATGAGAAGCTTCAGAATTGTCTTTCATGCTTAAAGTTGACACTTTATGTATGGGTTTAAACAAAGACTCTAATTATCTCACCCATTACAAAGATAGCTTCCCCAATTATCACCCTTATGTCATTACCTCACAGAAACTAACCTTCCCCCCTCACCCTCACTCTATTCTAAAATTTGATTTGTCAATTTCACATGCGTTCATTTTTTTGATTGTATCACTTTGGTATATATGGTTGTGCCGATTTTCTTCCACATATTGATCTGAGGAAGTGGGTTTGGCCCACGAAAGCTCATCACCTAATAAACCATCTTGTTAGTCTTTAAAGTGCTACATAGTTCTGTCTTTTGTTTAATCCATCTTAGGTTTTGTGTAAGTATGATAACCCATCAGTTCTTACCACAGCACTGTTCAAAACAGCATAAAGAACCATACATGCCAGTCTGAGACTAGAGAAATGTGTATCTTACTTCAGTTCACTTCTAACTAACTTCCCAACATTCAACCCTTTCTGAACTGGGTTAGAAGTTTTGTCCTAGCTGCTGTTGTTGATTGACATCAAGGAAACTAAACTCCTCTTGATTTATACACTTCCCTCCCCTCCAGGATTTTCTTCTCAGTGCTGCCGCTTGCTGCCATTACTCTCCACAAAATACATCATTTAATCTATCAATTTTAATGTTATACTCTGCTGGATCTGTATATCCTAAATTGGTACACGCATCATTCTTGTATGTGAACTTAGAAATATGAAGTGTGAGTCTATTTATAGTTTTATATGTGCTAATGAGAGCTGTTTCTAGTGCCCTGGAAGCCTAATGACTAGTGATCAACTCAATGGTTTGTAAAAAGCCTGGCTTGTCCTGTAAGTGCAAAGGCGGTTGGACTAGAAAGACCTGTAACCTTGACACCTGGTACTGGAAATCCATTCTGAACCTGGATTTTTTCCATGGGAAGAGTGGATACCCTGAGGAAAAGTCAATTTAAGAAATGGGAAGCAATTCCCTTTTGTCTACTGCCTGGCACTCCCCAAAAAAGGGCTGGGGACCCAAGTATGAGAAAAAGAATTTGTCATTGACTTGAAGATTATGCCTAAAATAAGAGCATCTCTTTAGGGTAAGAGTGTACGTGCAATAAGTTTCTTGGTGAATTAGAACTAGCTATATCTTTTCATTTAAATGTAGTACCTTACTTTGATCTGGCTGTTTTCACTTGCACCATTTAAATCCTACTCTTTATACTTAATAAACAACTTTTGTTTACTATCTGGCCCAGTGTATATAATTGTTACCTGGAGAGAACAACCACTGTGCTTATCTCTCTTTCATTGATAAAGGGAGCTTACTTGATGGCTACGTCTTCACTGTGAGTTCTTCCGGCAGAAAATGTGCTAATGAGGGACTCATTAGCATAAGTCACAATCTCATTAGCATATTTTCTGCCCTTTCTTTTTGCACAAGGGCTTTTTGCACAAAAAGAAGCAAGTGTGGATGGGGTTTTTTTTGGCACAAACCCCCCCATTTTGCACAAGATCCTTATGCATCCTAAAGCTTCAGAGGGGTAGCCAAGTTAGTCTGTAACAGGAAAAATTAAAACAAACAAACAAATAGTCTAGTAGCAACTTAAAGATTAACAAAACATGTACATAGTATCATGACCTTTCATGGGCACAACCCACTTCTTCAGATGACTGGAGTGTTGGAAGTCCCTCCCTCCGGGACTATCTAAGAGGTAACAGTTTCAGAGTACAGATGGTCAAAGAAGGGAAGAAGCCAAAAGACTCAGGGGTGCCAAGGTACCATTCCCTCTGTCTTGCAGGTATAAATTATTTCATTTTTACATGTACAGGGGCACTGAATACCCTGAGCAGGCATTAGAAGAAATGGAATATTTAATGAAAGGCAACAGTAAAGCTTTTAGAGAAATCAAAAAAGCTTAGAATATTGCAGAATAATGGATATTGTTTTGCTTGCTTAGATGTACTTCATTACAAACTGGTCTTCTAACGCACCAGTCTTCATAAGCTTGATCAATTTTAAGTTGTTTTCAGATTCAGTTTTCCTTATCTCTGAAATATTCCGCTATGGGGGGAAAAACAAAACATTTTCTTTTAAAATATTTACAATAATGGAAATGCTCCAGTTTAAAGACATACAATTGCCACAAGAATCACATTAGCCCTTTTTTGCCCCAGCATGACACTGGGAGCTGATGTTAAGTTACTTGTTTACTATAACCTCCACATCCTTTTCAGAGTTCGTTCTTTCCAGAATACAATACTGGAATGTACTATAATTGAATGAAAGGCATCATAATCTAGCTCACATATTAGCATTTGCATCTGAATACATAAAATATTGGAATACCTATAGTTATTGAGTATTAGCAACTCCAAATATAGCTTCAGTGTGTCATTTGAAATAAACAGAATCTTTATTATATAAGTTTGTGGCCTTAAGAACCCTAAATACTGCTCCTTCAGATCAGCGAACTGCAAAAACTTTAAAGATAATCATATGCAGAAATCTCTCCTGGAATTACATAATGCTACTTTGTTTTCTCTGGAGGAAAAGATTAAACATAATAACAAAAGGGCAGGCCAATCCCCACCCTCGGCCGCCAAATCCCTAAGGGTGTGTCTACACAGCAGGGTTTAATTTGAAATAAGATACACAAAATGAGTGACATCAATTGCATAGCTTATTTCAAAATAGCTTATTTCAAGTTCTGGTACTGTCTATAAGCACTTATTTCAAAATAGAGCATTCTTCCTCTGACTTCTCTTACTCCTTATAAAATGAGGGTTACAGGAGTTGGAGTAAGAAGTCCTCCAGCTTGACAGTATTTTGACATTATATTGAAATAACTTCTAGCTGTGTAGACGCAGACTATGTTATTTCGAAATAATGTTAGTTATTTTGAAATAATGTTGCTGTGTAGACATAGCCTAAGAATCTGACCTAGCAAACACAAGCTAAGTCTACACTGCAATCTAAGATGTGACTATAGCTTGAGGGGACACACCTGGATGTACTAGCTTTAATTTAGCTAGAAGTGAAGCTGTAGCAATTCAGGTTTCAGCACAGAAGTCTGCGAGTAGTTATCCATGGTTCTGGGCAAGTTTGTACAGCCCATCCTGAAGCACACATTGTTGCCACTTGATATATCTACTCCAGCTGCAATCACAGCTATGATTGCAAAACAAGCATACTCTGTGGGCTTGGCTTCATTAAAATATTACAGCATCATAGCTGAGCCACTGTAGTGTTTCAGTGTAGACGTTACCTATGCTGATGGGATTCTGGGAGGGAGTCTCCCATTGGCATTAGTAATCCATATTCTGGAGAAACAGTAGCTAGACTGATAGAAGAATTCTCCTGTCAACATAACACTGTCTACAGAGACTTAGTTTGGCTTAATTAGGGTTGAATGAAGTTTTATTGACCTAATTTTCTAGTGTTGACTAGGCCTTAGACATGTGACTTCACTCAGGTCACTAGTCCCATTAAAGCCAATGTGACTGCTTGTGAGAAATTTACTCATGTATGCAAATGTTTACAGGAGCAGGCTCCAAAGATTGTATAAACTGGCATTTTTGGAGAAATCTCCCATCTCTGCCCTTCTATCTGAGGTAGCAGTGGTCGGAGAGTTAGTGGAGATAGGGCTTCTGTATGTAACGCTGTGTCATCTAGACTAACTCTGGGTTAAGATGACATAGGGTACATCTACACTGCACCGTTATTTCGAGATATCTAGCGTTATTTCAAAATTCCACACAGCCATTCTGCTATTTCGAAATAATTTTGAAATAACAGATGGCTTATTCCAAAATCTGTAAACCTCATTCTACGAGGAATAAAGCCTATTCCGAAATAGCTACATCAAAATAAGACATGTTTAGTGGTATGTCTACACTACAGTGTTATTTCGAAATACCTTATTTCGAAATAGTTATTTCAAAATATCTTATTTCAAAATAACACATCTAGAAATAACACGTCTAGACACAAAATGCATTTCAAAATAGCGCGTTCACACTGATTGGATGCTGAATCACATTTAAGGCCAGCCGAAACCAATTCTGGTAGGGCATCAGGTCAGGAGTTACCTTGTGTAGCTGCTGCCTGAGGCTATCTGAGCCCTGTGCTTAAAGGGACATAAGAACATAAGAATGGCCGTACTGGGTCAGACCAACGGTCCTTCTAACCCAGTATCCTGTCTGCCGACAGTGGCCAGCACCAGGTGCCCCAGAGAGCGTGGACCGAAGACAATGATCAAGCGATTTGTCTCCTGCCATCTCTCTCCAGCCTCTGACAAACAGAGGCCAAGGACACCATTTTATCCCCTGGCTAATAGCCTTTTATGGACCTAACCTCCATGAAATTATCTAGCTTCTCTTTAAACTCTACTATAGTTCTAGCCTTCACAGCCTCCACTGGTGACAAGTCCACTGGGGCGGCTCGGAGGTCTTGGCTGCACAGCATGCTCCCTCGGGCCCCTGCAGCTCCTGGCCCTCCTCCTCCTCCGTGCCCTGGTCAGGGCCCTCTGCCCCAGGGTCAATGACCACGTGGGGGGCACAGACTGTCCTGCACCCCAGGATGTGGTCTAGGGTGTCAAAATAGGGACAGCTCTCTGAGTCTGCCCGTTTCAGAGCTGCCCCCTGTGGCCCTGGCATAGGCCTGTCGCAGCTCCTTAATTTTCATCCGAACCTGCTCCTGGGTTCGGATGTGGCCTTTGGTGGCCAGGCTGGCAGCCATTCTGCCATAGATGGCCATATTCCTCCGTCTAGTGCAGAGATCATGGATGTTGGAGGCATCCCCCCAAACCTCAATCAGGTCCATGATCTCCGCACTGGACCAGGAAGGCACCTGCCTTCTCCGGCCCCTGGCAGGCTCCTGGGAGCTGAGGGACTGGGCCCAGGGAGTGGTGGAGGGCTGGCTGGCACAGGCTGCTTGGCTCATGCTGGGGTCACTGGGTCAGGGGCAGTGACTGCTGGCTCTGGGCTGGCAGGCCTGGAGCTAGCACAGACACCGTGGCCAGACTCTACCCCTTTAAGGGCTCTGGGGAGGGAGGAGGAGAGAAGTGCCAAAGTGACCAGCAGGGCACCCTGGGAAGCGCTGGAGGCCCCCTATTTCGAAATAGCCCCTATTCTGCATCTACACAGTGCTAATTTTGAAATAGGTACTATTCCTCATGGAATGAGGTTTATCAATTTTGAAATAAGCCCTCCAATATTTTGAATTAATTTTGAAATAGCGGTTGGCTTGTGTAGACGCTAGTACAGTTATTTAAAAATAACGGCTGTTATTTCGAAATAACTTTGCTGTATAGACATACCCTAGGGCTACATCTTCACTGGCATGATTTTCCAGAAATGCTTTTAACGGAAAAGATTTCCGTTAAAAGCATTTTCGGAAAAGCGTGTCTAGATTGGCAGGACGCTTTTCCGGAAAAGCACTTTTTGCAGAAAAGCATCCAGGGCCAATCTAGACGCGCTTTTCCGCAAAAAAGCCCCAATTGCCATTTTCGCCATGGGGGCTTTTTTGCGGAAAACAGTACTGTGCTGTCTACACTGGCCCTTTCGCGCAAAAGTCTTTCAGAAAAAGACTTTTGCCCGAACGGGAGCAGCATAGTATTTCCGGAAAATCACTGACGATCTTTCATGAGATTGTCAGTGCTTATGTGGAAATTCAAGCGTCCAGTGTAGACAGCTGGCAAGTTTTTCCGGAAAAGCGGCTGATTTTCCGGAAAAACTTGCCAGTCTAGACACCGCCTAGGTGTTCCACTGCTGCTATTTCAAAATAGCTCCTCACCAGGGCCATTCTAAGTTATTCCTCTCCTGTGCCTCTTGGGGCTCTAAATTGAGATAGCACGTCTACATTAGAGAAGCCTGCCTCGGACTAATTTTGAGGCTCTCCTGCAGGGTAGATGTGCTATTTTGAAATAAACTATTTCAGAATAGTTATTCCAAAATAGCTTATTTATTCTGAAATAGCTTATTTCAAAATAGCAGTGCAGTATAGATGTACCCATAGTGGTAAAAACTCCTGAGTTTTATCTACACTAGTGCTTCCCTCACTGCAGCTCCATTAATGGCAGTGCAACAGTGAGAAAGTCCTGAAAAATGTTAGTGTGGACCTGGCATAAAATATCAAAAAATAAATATGGCCTGATTATTAATGAGGTCCTTTCACATTATTATAAATATAAAGGGTGTGACGGGGTGAAGCAACACCATCACTTGCCAGCACTGCGAGCCGCGGGCGCGGCGGGGGAAACCACCGCCACGGCCGGGTTTGACGGGGGGGAGGAACACCGCCGCTTGTCGGCGGCCACCGCCGTGGTCGGGGCTGTGACATCACCAGCACACCCGGGAGGAATAGAGAGGGACGCCCGGAAGTGAGGGGAGAAAAAGCCGCCAGCGGGGGACTAGGGGATATAAAGGGCGACCCAGAAGAGAGGAGGGGAGAGCAGGGTATGGAGGAGGGAGTGCGCGGGCTGGTAACCGACCGGCGGAGTGGTAACGACCCAGGGTGGGCTGTGGAACCCGGGAGCAGGTGTGTTTGGGGGTCGTCACCCCGCCTGCTACTGTCAGGAGTCACACTCCTGACATTAGGGCCCTGGGTCGGGGTCCGGAGAGAGGGTGGGCCCGGACCCTCCACTCCGCCTCGGTGGGCTCTAATTGCTGGACAAGCCGCCCGAAGGGGTACAAGAAAGGAAAGGGGGGGGCATATTGTGACAAAGGGACTTTAGCAGGGTGGACACAGCCTCTTGAAAATAGTGATAGAAATGTAGCCGTGTTAGTCTGGGGTAGTTGAAGCAAAATGCAGGACAATGTAGCACTTTAAAGACTAACAAGATGGTTTATTAGATGATGAGCTTTCGTGGGCCAGACCCACTTCCTCTTGAAAATAGTCTTTGCACAAAGTGGGACATTGTCCTCTGGTAGCATTTTACACTTACTTGGCCCTGGTGCAAATTGCTGTAAATAGTTCAGGGCAGCAGAGAATTAACCTCCCTCTTTGGGGAGGGCAGAACAGGTATAAAGGCTCTATTCTGAGCCCATTCCCAAAAATTGACAAAGGGGGCCCATCAAGGACATGTCTGATGGCCAGAGAAAACAGAATTTATCATATAGTGGCTCCAAGGCTGCTCTACCTAATACTTGGAACTAAACTTCCTCTTAATTAGCCCCAAAAGACAAAAGGCCTAACTCTCCATTGTCCGGCACCATGTGCATCTTTGCCCTAAATGACTGGTTTAAATGACTATATAAAATGCAGGGTAATAGAGATTCAGGCCCAGGAAATATACAAGAGGTTTAAAGTAACTTTTGCTCCCTACTCCATGTATAGGAACAGAGTAACTAAGGCCATGTCTTCACTTCCACACAGATTGACACTGTGGAGGTCGATGTTCCAGCATTTGACTTAGTGGATCTAGTAAGCACCTACTAAATTGAACACTCCGGTACTCCTCGTAGTTGTGAGGAGTAACTGAAGTTGATGGGAGAGTTTCTACCATCAAACTCCCTCTGTGGGGACGCCAGAGAAATTCGGCTTAAGGTAAGTCAACTCCAGCTACGTTATCTATGTAGCTGGAGTTGCGTATCTTAAGCTGACCTTCTTGTTTAGTGTAGACCTGCCCTAAGAATCAGGCCAATAATATTAACTATAATATTTTCAAATGGGCTGTTCAGTGTCCCCTTTACAAATTAACTATAATTATAGAATTATGAACAGTAAAAGCTTTTCTTTTTAAGAGTTGATAGATACCTTCATGTGTTTATTCAGTGGAAGCTGAAAGAGATTGATGGCATGTTTCTGACTCAGTAATATAAGATCCATTTTATATTTCCTTTTCATGGGCTTTCAAGATTTGTTTCTCAAATATTCCATTCAGTTTGCTGGAATGAAATGCTGCCTCTCACTTGTAACATATCTCTACAAGTTACATTCAGACAGACATGCACATGAAGTAATTACCCAGTTTCTCTATGGCTTCCACACATACACTGGGATACATGCCCTCTAAGTAAGTAGCAAGCAGGATGCACGACTCGGTCTTCACAGCTATCAAACCTCCATCCACCTAGATAAAGGAGAAAACTGGTTAAAAGTTGCAGGTTTCTTTTAAATATATACATACTATTTATCAATTTATGTTGGACATTTAAGTTGTGTATCACCTTCAGGAAGAGACAATACTATTATATAACTTAAATCAAGACATATTTTGATATTGATAGCAGATATAAATTCATTTAAGATTATGGGGCTTATATATAATTGTGTATTTTAATCAAGCTAAGTGAGAGGTATGCTGGTTTTCTATTATACTGCACTTTCCCAGGTTTATTCATAAATTAATGTTTACAAAGCACTTTGAAGTGACAAAGTGCAATGCAGGTGCTAAGAGCACCCCAAAATGCTATTAAAATGTTAATAAAATAAGTGTATGTGCTGTGTATAATTTGAAAGAATCCAAAAAGGCTTTGCAAACTACACATCTCTGAATCTCATTAATTTGCAATAATGAATACAAATCCCATTGGAAATTTCTTGATTTTCAGAAGTCAAATGCAAATGTCTGGGAGCACTTTTCACAATTGAATTACATGATGTCCATTAATGTGAGTTGAGCATTTGACTCACAGGATGTGAGGATTAGCAAGTGTGTATGCATGTGCCGAGGACCTCTCAGCTACCTCTGGGGCGGAACACGTGTGCAGTTTCACAAGTTAAAAAAAACAGTGTAAAGCTGCCTGCACTGACTCAACCTCAGGGCAGACTGTAAGGAATCAGGATACTACCCCCGAACTGGCTGTGAGTTCTCCACTTAGATTGCATCAACCAAGTAGCAAATATAAACTCTTCAAGCATTATACTAACTTTAACATGGAGTCACAGTCCCCTTGAGTATTCCGATTGTCTCGCCACCTCAGTGAGCATACTTTTGTGACAGAGGGTCTCTTATACCAAGAATCACAGCAATACTCTGGTTACTCCCAGTCCCAAGGAACCTTTCACTTACCCGCCAAATACATCTTGAGGCCACATCTCCACTTACCAGAGGAGCGACACTTTGATGATCAGTCTTCTGGGGTTTAATTTAGTGGGCTTACTTATTTACAAGGTTAAAGCAGTTAAACATATAGTCACAAATGAGCTACTATCTTAAGTTTCAAGCAGTTATGGAAGCTTCTGTAATAAGCAAGGTCTATATATCCAATAGTGCTAACCCAGGCTAAGCCCTGGGGTTCTCTTGCTTATGCCAACCTTGTCCACCAGAGTCTAAGCAACATAAACATAATGGCTACGTCTACACTGGCATAAGTTTTCCGTTAAAAGCATTTTTGGAAAAGCGTGTCTAGATTGGCAGGATGCTTTTCCGCAAAAGCACTTTTTGCGGAAAAGCGTCCGTGGCCAATATAGACGCGCTTTTCCGCAAAAAAGCCCCGATCGCCATTTTAGCCATCGGGGCTTTTTTGCGGAAAACAGCACTGTGCTGTCTACTCTGGCCCTCTTGCGCAAATGATTTGTGCAAGAGGGATTTTGCCTGAACAGGAGCAGCACAGTATTTCCGCAAGAACACTGACGATCTTACATGAGATCGTCAGTGTTCTTGCGGAAATTCAAGCAGCCAGTGTAGACAGCTGGCAAGTTTTTTCACAAAAGCAGATGATTTTGCGGAAATACTTGCCAGTCTAGACACAGCCAATCAGTTTCTTCTGTGTGGGATTTTTATCCCTCTCTGATATGTGCTCTGAGCTGCAAACTCAGCTGATAGGAGAAATCCACTTGCATGACTTATTTTCATGGGTAGCAAGGGGAAGGAAGGAAGAAGGGATACGAAGTCTTTTGTCCCTTTTGGCATTCCATAATAATCCATCTGCTGTCAATGGCCCTTTCCTGTTGGGCAGCTGCAGACTGACACTGAACACTAGTTAATGTCTCTCCCCTATCTGGTAATTTTACAGAGTCAGAGTAATACCTCTCAAATATTACTTCATGTCATGTTATTGGATTTTAGTAGAAAAATGCAGATCACTGCTGCATCCACTGTTGTGTGTTTGCCCTAAATTCTTGTAAGATGGGCTATGTGAAGAGTCTAATGAAAACTTATGCTGTGCTGATTCTGTCTCTCCTATTCATATACTTGTATGATTTTTTCATGTAAAGTTATAAATATGGTCTCTGTACTTTTATTTTAAATGCTTTCTGTCTGGGAGACAGCAGTGGCATTGCCCACCTATTATGAGGGATGGCGGATCAGTGAATGCTGCATGGACAATGGCTCTTTGGTGTTGCCAACTGACACATGAGGAGCACTGTGACGGGGCGCTCCCGCCCCGCACTCGGGAGGCCCGGGGAGTGGGCCGGAGGGCCCGTGGGGTGGCGGGCAGTCAGCACACTGTGGGATGACCAGGGATGACCGCGGACCCAGCAGCAGGCGCCAGGGGATGCGGGGAGCACAGGACGACGCCGGAGAATATCCCAGAGGGCGGGACTTGGGCGGCGTGGCCGGATGACGTCATGGGGGGAGAGGGGCGTTCCGGCGTCGTGGGCGCAATGACGTCGGGAAGCCAAACCGGTGCGGAGTTTAAAACCGCGCCTGATCCAGCCGGGGGGGGGGGGGGAGGGGA